CACACACAAACACACACACAGACAAACCCGTAACAATATGCGTTTTGTACTGCTGTTACACAGCAAAACGCATAAATAAAAACCTGAATAGAAATGTTTTGGCCCATCAAGTCGCATACATTCCTGTTCATTGCTGCAACTGAACCCCGTCAGTGTGACGGTTGCAGCATAAATAATAGCGTTTTTTAAGCATCACATCGGAACACGGCAACAAAAGCCAATGCGGGAAAAGTGTGCTCCTGTGAGATTTTGAGGTTTAAAAAACAAAGGTATAACTGTTGTGCACAGTTGTAGGCTGCACGAGGCAACACTGTGGAATTATTTGCAATTCCTGTGTAATCCAACTATACTTATTTGCCCTCAGCTTCACCTAAGCATATGATCACTGTATTATTTACATTATGTGTTTTTTTTAATTTTTTTTTATTACTTTTTTTAAAATCAAAACATTCTTTGTACTCGCTTCTTTTGAGAGGCGCGGAAGCATTCGGAAGTAGCCGGAGTGATAGCAGAAGCCAACAGCTATCACCAGTTGCTGCCAGGGCTGTTGTCGATGGCTCCCTCTTTCGAGAGTTGCTTAGAAGTAGTGTAAACTGAGGGCGAGTTTGATTTCACGGCTCGGCCTAGTCGTTAATTTAGAAATTACGGTTCGGCCTACCAGCAACCGCAAAAAATCTCTTCGGCCGTCCTACGTGGACCGTCCATTGGCCTTCTAATGGCTGTTACTTATCATTCTCGGCATATGCCAGTACCAATTTACCATCGAAACGAATGTACAAAGATCGTAGAGGGATTTGGTTGTCCCACTGGCGAAGTGGATCTCTCACCCCCTCACCAGCATATCGTAGCAGAAAGTGGGTTTTTTTTTTGTTTCAGTGAGATTTTGAAAGGAAAAGATTTGAAAGTGAATGGCCAACGACCACCAACAAAGCCATTTTTATTTGATTGTGATTCCCAGTGGGATCAATTCAATCCCGTTTAGCCATCCAAGTTGATGATGGCCAAGCTCTCTCATCCTCAATCTACGCCCCCACAAGTGCTTCGAGTTAACAGACCACAGCTCATTTTCTATCCTCAGTTTTCTTTTTTTTTTTAAAAAAGTTCTATTTTTCGTAATGTACAAGTCTGTGAATTATTCTCATCCACACAGTTTCGAGATTATATATATATTTCGAGAATATCTATTATTTACTTTACTCGTCGGAAAAATAAGTGATCATTCGAGTAGTTGGTTTAGAGCGAAAATGTGGTCCATCGTACTGTAATTACTTCGGAAACTAGCTTCAGCTGTGTTAACTGTTGTTCACTGAGGAGTCTTGCCAGTCGATTAGTGATAATCCTGGTGAACAGCTTGTAAATATGAAAAATTAAGCATTCTTGTATTTTCTTCTTATGGTTAAATATTATGAGAATCGAATTGCCTGAGAATTTCTTAAGATAGTTTTCATTGTTTTCATCACTTAGTAATACACCTAAAATTATTTTATAATTTTTTTTAAGCTGATTGTAGCATACAAGTAATATTAAGAACTTAAATAGGACAGGAATGGAACGAACTATGTAATGCAAGATGTAGAAATATAGCTGGTACAGGAGAAATAAGTACGAAAGAGTTAAGACGTTTCGGTTGATTTTTGTTAATTTTACTGATTTTTATCAAAC